AGAAATCGTGAGGGTGACAAGACTTTGTGCCTTATGTAAATCATGTGCCGGATATTCAACATTGAAAGAAATCCCTAGCTGACTTGGTATATCCATGTAAATTTTACGTTAGTTACGAGAATCACACGCTCAAAATGCAGTTGAAGGTTCAGAGCATAATCTTGGAAAATTTTCCTCTACTTCCAGAACTATTACGGACTGGGATAAGTTGCCTGAGACAATGTTTTAATTCTTTCCTCAGTAGTTTTCAAAGAAAAGTAATTTAATACTAGTTTATTTTATTAATTTATACCCTAGGCAGTTATATCTAGTTCAGATTAACACTGCAGTAAGCAACATTAACTAATTCTTTGAATTCATTATAATATTTAACAATACGATGTTCTCTTTAATTTTCAAGCAAATTACGTTCTCGAATATCATAAAATATTGAAGTGGATGTTGTTGGGTGAATAGGGAATGAAAAAACACGTGTGATGCAGAGTGCCCTTGACTGAGTCGAGTCTCCCTACTCACGCTAATCCTCATCGAATCGTTTTATTCGCGACGCCTGGTGTTTGCCATGCCAATTACTTGGAACGGTTCGAAGTTTCTGACCAATGAGAAGGCTCAGGTTTGGGTTTTAGGATATTCATGGTTACGACTTAGAAATGTGACACCTCCAGCCGTAAAAATGAAACCATTTACCACTGCGGTGCAAGCATTCCTTACGGGCATTTATGGTCAATCCTGCAACTTACAGAATAACAGAGGGTCAAAAATCACTTTAGCCAACTGGCGCTCACATTGTGTGTGCAAAAATACAAAGTTTATGTTTCAAGTTTCATTTCACTGCTTCAGATAACTCTCACTACAGAAAGTGTTTCGGACGCATATACATGGCCCGTTGATCGTGTTGGTATGAGGCGATCTCGGAAATGAGAGGGTTTTCCGAGCCAGCTGCTTTTTTTTTAAAAAAAATTAACGATATTTTTGATATGATCTATCAGCAGAGGCATTGATAATTCGCGATGTCTATTTTCGATAGGAGTGTTTCTAGGGACGCAGAGAACATCACTGAGATTTTCGTTTTTAATTACTTGCAGTTTATTCAGATGAGTAATTAGACTGCATTTCTGCTCGCTGGGCACCGCTTTATACCCCGCTGGGGCTAAAGGTCCGCGGGCTAGCCTCGGGGCAAGGGCGGTGGCGCGCTTTGCGATGTTTAGCCGTGCGAGACGGCGCCGAGGCGGCTGCTTCTGTCGCCCTCTCTTGAGCGGCGTTAGAACTCTCTTTTGGCGGCTTCTTCAAGGGTGCGCGGGCGACTATGCATCATCGAAGAACAAAACTCATCCACTTTAGACATTTTTTGGTAATTAATTAGTAACATTTGCAGAAATCAACATTTCAAGTGTGATTACAGAAAACCAAATTGCAGACTTGCTGACTAAGCCTTTGTTTGGTATTCTATAAGTAAAGTTATGCAATAACTTGGGACTAAGTTATTAAGTACGGGTGGGTATTGATATTGCTTTTTCTGTTGATATTGTATTCTCTTTGATTTTTAGTAACTAAGTTGTTGGTATCTGTACTTGAATGTAAACATAGCTTCAAATGACGTAAATCAGCTGTTACGGTGTCAACCAATTGGGGGGTTGAACTTAACCAAAGTGATGTCACTGTAGTGACGTGTAAGCTCCCAATTAAATGACATCGTAACATTTGACGACCTGTCAAATGAAGCTCTAAATAAATCGATGTGTATGTACTGTTGACAAGACAATATGTTACAAAAATCTTGTGTATAAAAGATACCTTTCTAAAACTGATTTTAATAAACTTATTTAATTCAAGTGTCATGTTAATTATTTAACAAAATAACTACCACAAAGAAAATAAACGACCTTGTGTGAAGACGAAACGTTTATTAGAACACTGCAATCAGAGTGGCGTAATTCGATGGACAATTTTATGGAAAAAATACAATGTCATATTGGCGGTTTCAGGGCAGTATTACGAAAAAATAAAAGAACTAGAATATTTGGAAGAGTCGTTATAGTGAATTATTTGGAATTGAACCTATACCCACTTTCACGTCGAGAATGCATAATGGGCTCTTATGGACAATGTTATTTTGATCGAAGAATCTCGTGCGCTGTTGCGACATCGACTGTTGCAAAAGTACAAAAAATATAGTCTGGTAGAGAATGCTATGCGGAACACGATAGTATCATGAAAAATGTTTCATTCAGTTCCTTTTTTAATAAAATAACGAAAACGCTTGATTTCTGCGGAACTGACGTTTTAAACACACGTTTTGGGGTCCCCTGATACAGAAAAAGGTTTTTTTCAAAACGTCCATCTGCCCGTGTACGTGAACACTTGCGCCGAAACCATGCGAAGATTTTTTTCCAAATTGAAGAAACCTCTATCCATTTGGCCTGAGTCGAAGATCTACGATTTTGACAATCATTTATTCGTTTTTAAGGGTACTTTATATAAATCCCCTGGAACATTTCCAAAATGTTCTGAAAAACGGCTCCAATTTTTTTCTTTACAGTTTTGGTAAGGGTTGTGCTAAATACACTCTATAAGATTACATATAATAGATAAGACATACGAATACGGGAGTTTGTGCCATTCTGTGGCACCACTGGTTTAATTATATAAAAGGTGTGAAGGGTCCGCTTGTGCACGCAAGCTATTTACTACATAAGCCTAATTATTTATCTCGACACATGCACAACGTGGCAGTCCGTTTTAGTACGGACTATTTTCTATAAAATATGTACGACTGTTTGAATCTGTAATACTTGAGAGCGAGCGTGAGCAATTCTAAGAATCTTTCCTGTCCCAATCCGCCTGACTGGTTCTTGGAACTCGCCTACTTACCGTTTTACCACTTAACAAATTTTAAAAAATGCGTTTCAAAATCCGAAAGCTTTGACTCGAGTGAGATAAGCAGGATGGACATTCATTTTGGAAAAAAAAGTCTACGTATGGTTTAATCGGTAGTGGTGTTTACAGACGGTCGGATAGACGGACGGATAGACAGACAGACAGACAGATAGACAGACAGACAGAAAGATAGACAGACGGAGGGACGTTTCGTCGTCAAATTGGTTTTGCGATATCAAGGACCCACACCCACTTGAAGATTCTGGCTACACCAAATGTTAGAGGATTTTTCTTTTAATTTAGCAACAGGATTTATCCGCTTTTTCGTTATCAGGGTCCAGCAATGATTTTTTTTAAAGAAAATACGTCGTTTTCCGCGCAGCATTACATAACTTTTCCTGTACTATGCAGAGGCGGCTCGTGCTTAAGTTGCACGGATACACAATCCCCAGAAATAATCAAAATAATTCTTAAGAATGTATTAAAAATATACATTTTTTTAGTGACAGTCATTATTCAAGATATTGCAGCAATATCGATGTATATAAAATCGTTTTGAAACCAAAGACCGTCCAACTCCAGTACTCACCATCCAACTTCTCAAATTTTATGGCATTTCTTTACCTTGATCTCAGCTTTTTTTAATATCTCTTATACCTACGTTTATACGGAGTCAGAACATCCGTCCGTTTGTCCGTCTTGCGTCTCTGAACACTACTAGCGCCGAAACCAGGCGTAGGATTTCTTCCAAATTTTATAAACCTCTATCTGGCTCGTGTCAAACCTTTGAGATTTTAAAAAACATTCTTTAACATTTTCTGAAAAAACGGCTACAAATTTTTTCATTAAATTTCTTGTAAGAATAGAGCAATTTACACTACTTAAAGTGGCATGGGTCTGATTTTCACAGTTAACTTTAAATTTTCGAAAATTTCAAAAGAATGAATTTTGTTCGGTATCTTCCTACAACTACGTAATTGACGATGAAGATGTTTCCTTCAAATAACATTTGTTCTCCATAGTGAGTTCTTTCATTAAGGTCATGTATACTTTTTTGAAACTTTTAGTAGTTTTCACGCAATATTGGCAATTTAAAAAAAAAATACTAAAACAAGATTTTCTCAAAAACGGCTCCAACTTTTTCTTTAAACTTTTGGAAGGAATAGTGCGAAAGGTACTCTTTTTAGATGACATAAAAGCTTTTTTCCTCTATTCTTTTGTTATTTTTTTAAAAAATTACAATTTTTTTAACTTGTCTCTCATGTTAATATTTATTCAAGCGGCAGTTTGTTCACATTACTATATTTATGAATACATGTGCTTTAAATAAAGTCGTAAAGTTTCTCGAAAACTCAACGATTTTCTGTTAAAAGTAAATGTAAAATTCGCATTTTCAGAAACGCTCAAACGCCATTTTCTCAAAACAATCTCAAAACATCGAAAACTCAGTTTTGATTTGTTTTTTCAAAATTTCACAAATATAAATTTGTTGAAAGATCTCTCGCGGCGTGTGTACGCACATTTCCAGCAATTTTTAAACATTATTGTACTTGTGAGTTAAAGTAATTAAAATGACTTCAAATTAAGTTTTTCAAAGACTGAAAAATTGTTTGTTTAAAAGTGCTTCAAATTTCGACTTTACAGTAGCGCTTCAACCCCAGTTTCTTAAAAACGGCACGAAGTTTTTCAAAGAAAATTGTCATTTAGGACGAGTGACGAGAGTTTCTTATTTTTAATAATCTTAAAATAATATTTTCGCTCTAAAATTAGGAAACCGAGAAATGAAATTGTAAAAAAAAATGTACTTTCGCGGCGATAGATGTCAGCAGGCAAGAATATGTGGCAAGTTCGAATAGCTAATTTGAGACCAAAGGAAATAGAAAATTAATACGGGCACCAACGCCATCCGAACTTTAGTATTTCAGAACGTATGTTGTGTTGACTTGACATATCAGCTTGCTGACCATGTCTTTAAAAGTTTAGCAAATGACCGCTTGATGCCGCTGAAGCTAAGTGTATTACAATTATAAAAGAAAAAAAGAAAATAATATTAAGATAAATCAATGTTATATTAAAACTTTTTATAATAATTGCTGCTGAAAATTTTCGACTTGCCTCCAACATTGGAGTTTAGTCTGCTTGCAGCCTTCGTGTCGTAAGCAAATAAATTCACAGAGATTGCAATAGGTCTTTCGATGTATCTTTATACAGTGGATGTTCATAACTTCGTTTCGGCGGGAAATGAGGAAATGATATCTTGACAGCGGTAGACAGCAAGCAGTGTTAATTATACGTTTCAGTTGGGAGTGCATGGGTTTCGGTAATTGTTAGATTCTGTCCCGTTTAGAAACTGTTGTGTAATGTAGATTGTCTTCATTGTCATTTGTAGAGAATTAGTAAAGCAAATTTTTTGTCTGGGGAATTATTAATCTAACGAAAACAAAGTTTTATTGTGATGGAGACGGATACAGATATTATAACATTTGAAAAAACGTTTAATCAGAGATTAGAAGAATATAGAAGTTTACTGTGTACAGATAAAATTTTACCATCCTCACAGATGAGGTCAGAATGGAGCTATATTGCTGAAGTTGTATTGGAGCCAATTGGGTGGAAAGCGTTGTGGAAAATTCCAGCTAATAAACGTGTGGAGCTAGGGATAATAGGACCTGCACTTGTTAATATTTTGGTAGGTTTGTTTTAAATCTTCACCGTCAGTGGTGATAAACTGAAAATATTTTGGATGATATGTAAATTGAATAATATTTATTTTAGGTGGATGCTGTGGACGTGAAAGATCTGTCTGCAGAAGTTACTGTTATCACTGGTATTGATAAAAATATTCCTGAGCAGCAGAATGTGTTTTTGGTTGATTTATACCCTACTGTGCATCAAATAAATGATGAACTTTATGTAAAAGAAACTGCTGATTTTATTGATAAATTACGGTAAATTTTTTGTTTGTTTAAAAATAATTTCAAGATTTCTGAAATCTAAATGAATTCTGAAAGGCTTATGAACACAATTAGAAGACTTACATGATATATTCACAATGATTACTCATTAAATGCCATGACCCTCAAATGGTAAGGTTACTGTACATACAGAATACTCTGAACATTTTAACTTTCTGACTAGTATCTGGGAGCATTTTCTGCAAGAGCTCAAAGGCCCTACAATTTAAAGGACTTAAGTTCCAGCAACATTTACTCATACTGTCACTAAATACAGTTACTCGGAAATTGTGTTTTGAATGTTTAAAATCGAAATTTTCACTTCTCATTTTGTCTCCATAATCTGTGTTGAAATATATGAAGAAAGTATGTGATGCTTAGTTGTTAATTTCTGAAAAAACAGGGAAAATACAAATCAAAATATTGAAATTATGCAGGAAAAATGTTGGGAAACGATCTGGTCACATCAAAAAATGAGCAATTGCGAGAACCACAGAATGGAAAAAAATGTATTGATGTGACATAAATAGTAGCAAGATAAGTGACTGACCTTTAACATGCTGTGTGTAGTTATCAGTAATATTTTATTAGGTCTCTGAAACAGAAGGTCTTCAATAATTAACACCTGTGGTGGTAAGGAGAAAGAGATTATTGTGCATTATGACTGATTGGGTTGTTATGTATGAATTCTTGCCCTACATTGCCTGAAATTTCATGAGTGGATTACTCCATGTAACCACACATAATGAAAAATGTCTTTATCAGTATTTGTAACTTAAAATAGATGGTAAAGACATTTTACTATAACACTTATTTAATTAATTTATTTATTATCAAATATTCATTATATTTTAATATTATCATCATATTTCCAATTATCTTTGTAATTCACACAATACTTAGTTGTAAACTATTATAAATTACCTATAATTTATGGACTTCCCTTGTTAAGCATATTGCTCAGAGAAAAAAAGATTTTGTTAGGTGAGGCTCAAATCTACAAAATTTATTTATGTACTTTTGTTTGTTACATCTATATGAAAATTTTATAACAGTAGAAAATTGAATTAAATTCAGTTCAAGGAATACAAAGTAAGTAATGAACAGATGCCAAAAACGTGTTTAAGGTTTTGAAACCTAATTGCCCCTGCACACTAAGTACGCTTGTGTGGCAGTAAAGCGTAATTAGCATTTAATTCTTGGATCAGAGAGTACTTGCATGTAATTCAAAATTTCATTTTGCTATAAGGAATATAAAAATTACTCCACAATTGGGAGTGGTCATGCCACATGATTGCAAGGGATGATAATAAGTGATTAGTTGTGATGAAAATAATTAATATTAATGTTATTAATAATAAAGAAATGATTAGTATAGTTTTGAAGGGTTATTGAAATATTTAATTTGATGCTAACTTTGTAATGAAGATGAACATAACATGTATTCCTCCTAAGAAAATTATGAATAGGTTAAAGTGAATCAGAATAAATATGAAGTGGATCTTGTAATTAAACAGATTATTAGTGCTTCTAAGATAAGTAGTTAAGTAATTGCTAAGGAATGAATTATTATGAGAAAAGTGATAATTACACAGGCACCCAAAGACTTGATATGTGTTTCGATGCACGATATCCAAATCTGAAGCCAGAATTGCACCACCGCCAATATTTTTTTAATTGCAAAAACACCATCTCTAGTATAAAATTATATTGTCGGATAAGGATAACTCAACCTTGTCCAAAAAAGTTTCTATTATCCAGAAAAAGATAGTATGCAAGTTTTTGGTACCTACTACAAATTGTAAACCATGCTTCAAACCTCTAAAGATTCTACTACTACTTTACTTATTTATGTATGGAAATATTGTGTGAATGAAACTTAAGACTTCAAGAACACAAGACAAATTTAATGATGCCACCTCATCATTCCATCTTAACCTTGGCCATATCTCAGTCTCTGTCCTCAGCATCGATGTCACAATCTGCTCTGATATCTATGCATATGAGATTTTCTGGTCATTCCATTTTAATGTTAAATAATTTTATTCACTAATTTTGCCACCACCTGCTGCAGTCAACTTTTCTGGATGTACTCCCAAGTAGGTTAGAATATATTCTCTTAATTCATGACTTCCTTTTCTCCTCTTTTTCATTTCAGATAAAACTGCTATTTCTATTTGCTTTTTCTTAAGTTCACCCACTAGTTTTATTGTTTAGACTGTTAGGCTTTAAACATTCAAAACTCCAAATTTAAAATCATAAAAACCGTTGTTCTTGCCATTGTCATCTACATTTGGTACAACCAACTTCTTATCCACGACAGACAGTTTCATTTTTCAAATGTTGTAGTAGTAGGACAGGTTTGAAGAAAAAGAAAAAAAAACTTTTGCATTTCTGAAGTTTCAAAGGGTTTAATGAAAATTGTACCTATGCTTTATGAAGGAGACTTTGCTAGTTTTTGCAGATAATTTAAAGAAGAAAGTGTGGGGTTGTTTTTGAAAAAAACTTGTTTAAATATTTGTTTTAAATTGTCTAAATGTCACTCAAAGCTATGCGCAAAATTATTCATGGAAAAAAATCAGAGTGGCCCCTTTTCGGAAAATTGGTAAAATCAGAGAATTTGAAGAAACTTTAGGAGTCAGGGAAAATTTTGAGACAAACAAATTTTAGACATAATAATTTCTATTTGTTAAGGGAAAAAAAAAAATTGTTAATATTAATATCAGAAGTGAAATGAGAGAGCTTATAATGAACATGATAAAGATCAAATTTATAAAATGTATGAGAGAGCTCTTAGAACTATTGTAAATAAATGCCATTTATGTAAATTTTACTACTGTTTTTGTGCTCATACATTTCTTCTGTTTAAAGGTTTTTTTATAATCATCTTTGGATGCCATGGGATGTCGATGATGATGACAATCAGAATTGGGTTCAACAGCACCTGGAATCTCGTCTTAAATTGTATGTTATCTTCTGACATGCCAACTTTTTCAAATGAAAAGAAAATATATAAATTGAAATTTCTGTATTTGTAGGTTTTTTGATATGCAGAATGGCAGTATTTTAGCTGAAATGGTTTTACAACTACAGTACTTAATATCAGAAGGACGGCGAATACAAACAAAGATAAGTGAACTAGAGGACAAAATAGAGGATGATATGAATGATGAAACAGTAATGTGTGACCTAATGGATTTGCACTATTGTAAAGACCAGATAAAAAGTAAATTTGAAATGTATGAAGATCCTTATAAAAGGTTGTTTGGTTTAACATTCGAAATATATTTGTGCTCATGCCCCAAATTTCTGATCAATCAATAACATATTTCCACTTGACACAGATCTCTGCTGGTATGGAAGCAGTGCCGTAAGAATTCTGACAAAACGGAAAGCAGTAATCATCAGAAAGTAACCTACATGATTTGGTCTGGGGGCCCTCTGAATTCTTATATTGCATTCTTGAATGAAGCGAAGTCCTACGTGAAAGCTGAAGAACTTGTAAAGTAAGTCATACCTTTCAGTATGGCTTTGTTTGTTGACTCAAGTGTAATTATGTCAATGTGCCCAGGTCATCTTTCCAGCTGCAAGAGAGCCTGGACCAGGCAGTGCATGGGGATGTGTTACTGCTATCTGAAGGATGTCATGGTCTCCTGGGCCTCGGCTGCCTTGAGAAAGGAGGTGCCATTAGAGGTACATTAATTTCATGTATTATTCTTCATATGCCGTTCGCATTTGGAATAGCTGGAAAGAAGTATTTTAAGAAGGGGTGGGCACAGTTTTCCTCTGTGTAGTTTTGTTTTGTCTCTGGGGTCTTTAATGAGCACTTCTGTAGTTTGTGCTCAATGCTGGTTAGAGTTAAGCTCATAGACAGCATTGCCACTGTCTTTGCAATGATTCAGGCTGCGAGATCCTAGTTTCGAGACCTGATGGTGGTGGATTTTTGACACTAAGTATGAAGCTAGTTTGAATTCAGCTCCAGTCTTTTTGAAAATTGTGGATACCAGCAGCTTGTTTGGTAGTTTTCTGTGGTTCCTCTGATCAATACATGACAAATGAAAGAGGAGTACCTAATGGGCGCATGATCTTTCTGTCCTCATCCTTGTCTCAACTTCTCTCCTTTAATACACAGTACACTACCACACATCACATGACCAGTGGAGGTTAGAGGTTATCCTTGCTGGGCTGGTGCTTCACTGAGAGAGATACCTAGAGGAGGAATACCCCTCAAGCCAACATATAGATCAGCACTACATTTCACCATTAAGGGGGGGAGAGTAACAGTGCTACCTCCCATGTCGAAAACATTCATTTATACTAATGGGACTAATTACCTTAGCAGTTCAGGTGCCTTGATACATCAATCAATTCATTCTCAGCTAGAAGTGGAATGTCACACCAAATAACATCAATTTGAACTTTAGTGGTTCAAAAAACTACATTTCAAAATAATGCTAGGTAATTTAAGAAAATTTTCAACAAATTACTAGTTGTAGTTGAAGTTCATGAGGTACATTAGAACATGCAAGCAATAAGCTTTTACATTCTCATATACGTACATATGTATGGAGTAATATATGTAGTGTATAGGTTATGTATTGCTGAAAAACAAACATTCATTTTCACAAAAAAAAAAAAAAAAAAAAAATTCATTGCCATGACCTGATAACCCTGATGACCCTGATAATGAAAAGTGAATTAATCCAGTTGCTAAATTAAAAAGGAAAAAAGTCATGTACATGTAATGTAGTCAGAATCCATGCTTTATGGGTCCTTGATACTGAAATCGATTGATGATGAAACGTCTGTCCATCTGTAAATACCACTAGCACCTAAACCATATATAGGATTTTTTCCAAAATGATTAAACACCTGTTCATCTGGCTGAAGTCGAACCTTTGAGTTTTTGAAAAACATTCTTTAAAATTTGTGGGTACTTACACGGGACATTTTCAAAATTTTCTTTAAACTTTTGGTAGGGATAGTGGTAAATGTACTCTATAAGATGACATAAACATTATATTGCTCTATTCTTTTTTTCAAAAATTACAAAAATTTAATTTTTTGACTTAACTTTTATGTTGTTTATGTTTACATTAGGTAATTTGTTCACATTATTATATTTACAGATACATGTGCTTTAAATAATGTCATAAAGTTTCTCGAATACTCAACAGTTCTGTCGAAACAAGCACAAACTTCCACATTTTCAGAAATGCTCTAACACCATTTTTCAATAATGGCTCCAAATATTTTCTTCAAACTGCTCCAATGGTAGTGCTAATTGCACTGTTCAAAATGTAGTTGATTTGGGTTTTTCTTTAATTTTTTCAACAATTACATAAATTTAATTTTTTTAAAAATATCTCTTACATTGTTAATATGCACATTTTCAGCAATTTGTAAACACAATTGAATTTTTGAGTTCAAGTACTTCAAATGAAGTTCCTCAAAAACTCAAAAATTTTATTGAAAAAGAGCTATAAATTTTGCATTTATAGTTATGCTTAATCCCCATTGTCTTAAATACAACTCCAAATTTTTTAGTGGAAATTGCTATTTATGACAAGGTTTTACTCGTCATTAATATTCTTAAAGTAGTATTTTTGTTTTGCTATTAGAAAACTGAATAATTGAGAAAATGTCAAAAAACATACTTTGGGTGGCGATAGATGGTAGCTGGTAAGAGGATGGGGCAAGATCATAAAGCCAGTCCACACCAAGGAAATTAAAAAAAATTACTATGAGAAAGCCTGTGCCATTCTTCAGCTTCTTCAAACTTTTTGTACGGCTAGTGCTAATTGCACTGTTTAAGATGACAAAATTATCTCTGTTGTATTCATTTGTTTTTTACAAATTGCACTATTTATATCTTTTTTATATGTATTTAAACAAATATATCTTTTGTTTAAAATATCTTCACAATGTTAATATGCTTATTTTCGGCGATTTGTAAACACTATTGCATTTGTGAGTGGAAGTGCTTCACATGACTTCAAATGAAGTTTTTCAAAAACTCAAAATTTTTCAAATTCAAAAATTTTCTGTAAGAAAGAGCTTCAAATTTCACGTTTATATTAACTCTTATAGTCCATTTTTTTTAAAACGGCTCCAAATTTTTCAATGAAAATTGCCATTTAGGATGAGGTTTTACTGTTCTTTAATATTCATAAAATAATATTTTGATTCTATTAGTGAACTGAAAAATTGAGAAAATTTCAAAAACTTCAGGCATGAGGGATGGGAGCTGGCAAAAGTATGTGTTAAAAACAGAAAAGCTTGGCCAGACCAAAAAAATTAGAAAAGTAACTCATACGAGATAATCTGTACTATTCTGTGGCACCAGTAGTTTTGCATGTCAAAATGAAATGATATTGATCTCTTCTCCTTGAACAAGATGAGTTCTATCCATTCAGAAATTACCAACTAAATTCTTAATATGCTGGTGTATTTTTGTAAGTAAATGAATTTCTTATGGCACTATGTAATTGATTGAACCATCATGATTTGTGCCATTTAAAACCTCTTCTTTTAACAATATTATCTGTCTTAATGACTGCTGTTAGTCATTCTTTCTCTAGGGCTAGTCAATTTCAAAGAGCACTGTGCATTTTCACTCAAAATGATCATGTGGGTTTTGGAGACCCCATGATCATCCAAACAGTTCCACAAAATTGGCATATGAAAATAATGTTCACTGAGAATGCGCTTGTATCTGGTTTCTCTTTTCCTTTTGCCCTTATTTAGAAAATTTGAATTTTTCAACATTATTCTGTGTTGTACTAATGTGTTTCTTGAGATTATCAAGTAGTTTTTATTTTTTAACATAAAAAAATGTTAAAAAAGCAACCACCAACAGCAACTGCGATCCATTGGATGAGATCTCTAAGGCAGTAGTGCCATAGTGGTTTCAGACCAGAAGATCACGGGTTTGAGTCCTGCCTTGGGCTTGTTGTGTATGTCTCTATGTTTATGACTGTCCATTTCATCATCATTTCCATACCTCATCCCCTAGATCGAACAACCCTGGTATATAAAAATGGACTCAGCCGAAATGCTGATCCTCTCCAATAAATTCATGTACATACTCTCAGAACAAAATGGGTACAACTGCATGTTCAAGTGTTCCATAGATGGTCAATCCCCCCCAAATTTCACAATATGGGGACAGTTTATAAATGAAATATGGGTTCAGTTTATAAATGAAATGTTAGCTTTTGGTTTTATATTTTATATTAAAATTAGTTTATTTTTTTCTATCGACAGGTGTTGGACTTCCTGAATCAACGATTTTGAAACCTCATAATGCTGGAAATATCCTCTTAGATTGTAGTGGTGGCATTATTACTTTGGAAAACCTAACCATCGACATACAGGAAACACAGATTGCTATTCTTGTTCATAATTCAACTCTCCATCTACGCAACTGTCGTATTATAGGGCAGAAGAATAGGGCGAATAGTGGGCTGCTTGTGTTACATGGTGGATGTGTTGTAGCCCAGGACTGTTTTTTTTCTGGTTTGGGAGCAGCTCTTGTGGTCTATTCGAAAGGAGAAACCTCTCTCACCGCTTGCAAGATTCAAAATTGTCTTGTTGGTATGAAGGTAAATAAGGAAATACTTCTCTGATTAGAGACCAAAGTTATTTAGTCATTCAATCCAATACTGCTATAAAAGAGTTGTTAACAGCATAGAGATCGAGAGTGGATATTCATTTATTGATATATAATGAATATTCTGAATTTCGTGGTTCTATCTAACTAATAAACTTTAGTAGATGTACATTAGAAATAACTTAACTTGTGCTTTACATGTTAAAAAGAAAGTAAAAAATTACTTTCAATAGAATTTTTTAATAGAAATCTATGAACTATGGTTTCAAAATTATATTTTACAATCAGAATACTTGAAGGACATTTTGTGAATACGTGTTATCAGAGATGCAATTTTTCAAACAACTTTTACAGATTTTTGTTTTACAGTTACAGGATGATGCGAAAATAAATTTAATGAAATGTGAAATTTCAGAATGCCTTGAATTTGGTATTAAAGTTGAAATTAGTAGGAAAGCTTCACCTGGAGTAAGTGAAGTTGGCTCTGCTGGTCTTCTGAGTGGGTAAGTTTCCTTGAAAATCATATATTTCTTATTCAGTGAAGTGTTAAGCATTACTGTGTTTAATTTTTCAGGGTTGGGGAAATTCAATTAAGTGACACAAGTATCAAGAATAACATACGAGGTGATGTGAGCATTCTGCAGAGAAATAGTATCATTCATGACAGCGATGTGGAAAATCCTTCCTTCAGCTTTTTGCTCTTCAATAACCCTCCAATGATTGAGGCAATAAAATCTGATGGTCATACAGAAAAATAAATGTGTGTCATAAATGTATTTTTTTGTTTCATAAATGCTTTTCCTGTAAAATTTTGTAATCTTGTGAGGTGCTATTAAAGTATAATAAGAATAAATTGAAAATGTTTTGTGTCTTAAAACCACAGAATTGTTAAAAAACATTTTAAAGTTAAAGGACATTTCAAAAAACATGAATTCTTTATAAGAAACAATGTTCAATGGAATTCTGAAATGGTACCATGTGTTAATTAAAAAACTGTATAAATTGGGACCAGAAAACTCCTAATCATTGAAGCATCTGAACGTTTCATAGCCTAGACATTAAAGCCCAGTTTGTTTAATAAAGTCGTAGGCTTCCGCGACCAGTCATGTGGGTAATCTGGGCTGTCCAGGTAACGCCGCGTCGAAGGCTGAATTGCCGACGTTTCGACCATCCTGTCGTGGTCTTCCTCAGGGCTGGTGTGCGCCGTGATGGTCAGCGCTCGTGTTTATATTGTTTGTTTAATGCCTGATTGGGAATATTTCCTACGGACTTATCAGTTTTTTATTGACATAACAATTCTCCACACATATTTGAGGAAAACAAGCCATATAATGGAAAAACAATTAAACCATTATGATAATTTTGAGTGTTTCCTAGGGGCTTCATTCATGTACCCTATCCCTCGAAAAAGTTCAAAGATGTTAAACCCTTACAACCTACCCGGAGTGCGGAACATCACACGAAAGTGATTTTTTTCTTGTCAAAAGTAAGATAAATTTGAAAATACGTTCGAAATACCTCAAAAGTGTCTACATAAATTTGGTATCCCAATCAAAACCCATAAAAGGAAATGGGATGGCTCACCACCCCATTTATATTGCGACGTACTCAAGTTCAGGCCTCGTATCAAGAATAAATAAATAATAAACAAACATGTATGTATATATATATATATATATATATATATATATATATATATATATATACACACACACACACACACACACAAAACATAAACAAAAAAATGTTTAGTCAGGAGGTCCGCGTCCGTTTGCAACCAGCGCATGAGCGATGACTCAGTCGCTTGGCGCGGAACAAAGACAAGCGAGGACAGCGCTGACCAAACCCTAAATTAGAATAAATAATTAGGAAATTCTGAAATCTCTATTGGCCAATCTCTACTCGTGAAATGACAATTTAAGGCTGTGTGTTGTACGTTTTCTCTTTGCGCAAGGATAAGAGTCCGTCAGTCGCGAGATGTACCAAGAGATGAGATGTACAGAGTGAGCGTGTTTTTCTACCGAAGTTTTTCTTTTGTATGAATGTAATCCTTCAGTTTTGTGTATTAATGAATTATAATTAATACCATTGTTTGTGTTCGCATCCCGGACAATAACATTAACAAAACGAGGGGAACGGCTTACGCGAGACCTCAGAAAGAGAGAATCTTGAGAAAGTATGAAGATCGACAGTCGTAATAATCGGGAAAGGTCCATGCGTGTAGCGTCAGCCTATACGACGTGTGTCGCTCAGAGGAAGAAAAAATCGTTAGAAGAGGCCATTTTGTTAAGATGTTTAGATCACTGAGCAGAAGCTATTAGCGAAATGGTGGATCTGATCACTGAAAGCATCTTATAAGTTATTCCTCACGCACTCGTTCAACGATAAAACTGCTCAATTACGAACAATTTCGAAAAGTCCACCAAGTGCTGGGCGGAAGACATGTGAACGTGAAGTTGCGTCTTTCGGCTGTGGTGCAGTGCGTCGAATTCATCCCTTTGCGAGCCGAGCCGAGGACGAACTCCCGACACGCCGCCGGCAGGCCTACACCAGCCTACATTTTTTCAACTCTGCCCTGGCAGGTATTAGGTGCTGGTACGTGAAGTGACCGGTCGGTTGAGGTCAGCGAGGAAGCAGCACCAGCGCCGGATCCAGCCTCGGCGGGCTCACTCTCATCAATCTGCTAGACACCGTATTTGCGAACGATACCCTCCCCCAAAGATGCAGAGTGGTGGGAACCCGTGTCACGAAAGTGTGAGAAAATTTGAACAGAAAGTTATAAATGGTATTCTTGAAATCTAAAGTAATTTACCATTCAGATGTTAAGAGAAGTTAATATGAAATTGGTGTATAAATGGTGAATTTTGTTGCGTAGGATAAGTGCTAGAAGTTTGTTAGAGATTGTTCTAAAGAACTCTCATTGCAATTTTGCACGAATTATATTATTAATTTTTTCTTTATTTATTGCAATTTCTTACTTGTGAGTTTTAGATGATCGGAATGAATATTCGTATTGTTTGTTTAACATGAGCACAGAATAGTTTACTACTATCTTTGCCTTGCTATTCGAGGCAGACCAGTTGGTGATCGAATTTATATGTTAAGAATTAAACACAACATTGCAGAAATATCTTGTGAATTCCTAAATTACTAGTGTAAGGTTTTAATTTAGAAAAGGAATGAACTAAAAGAAATTAGAAAAAAATACAGTTTGGAAAAAAAGCATTAAAACGTGAATGAATCAATAGATTTTTATTCAGTTACGAAAAAGAGCTAAAAATCAGATGAATAATAGCATTCTGTTATTAAGAATAAAAATGGTATGCTACTATTGTGTGTATTCCAAGTGCTAATTTGATTTACATGCATGAAGAGAATTCTGTTCATGTTTGTGTATCGTTTTTAAAGAATATACTATCGTTTTGTATCCAAGTGAAAAAAGTTGTAGTCTTTTGTGTTTTTCCTCAAATAAATTTCCTAGATATTCTGTGAGATTTTAGAATACCAACTCGGCAGGCCTGAGAACGGATTGCCATTGATATCGAGAGTCCGAGGTGCCACCCAGCCTGAGAAGCCTGATCGACAAAAAATTATTTGGTGCTATCCACGCGGTGGGTGACGGTGTGTTCTGTTGCTTATTATATAGACACAGTGTTCAGAGAGAAAACAACGAAAGTTCTTAAGTCAATTTTAAGCATATTTTGTCTATATTTCGAACGTTCGAGCCACAATAAGAAGTCAAAAGTTGTTTTGAAAAAGCTGACGTGCACAATACAAGACACGGCGCCAGGAACCTAGCTGACTCAGAAACTGTCCAAAGTATCCGTTGCATGCCATCTATTGTAATAGTGCGCGCGACCAACACATAAACTACCATCCGTCTGGGCCGTACCATCCCAGAACGCGAGTTGCTTGAGACTTTTAGGAATGTGGCTTATTATTGAAATCCAATTTTCAAAATTTGAATTCAGCACTGATTAAAAATATTAGTATAAAAAGTGTATTATATATTTTTAACCGTTTAGTTACGAAGGGGAAACTGTAATGGCGGTGAAACTGATCGAACTTACCCGCCACTAGAGGCTCGCCGACCTCGAGACAAGCTTCCTCGACCCGTAGCGAGATGGCATCGCGAAAGCAGAGGAGCAGAAACCCCGCGGAGGGCTGCCGGCGTAGAGGAGAGATACAAGTCGGACAGGGAGACATACAGGAGCCGGACAGGGAGAGATATCTCTACTCTCTGTGGTCACGCCACCCCGCAACCGGGGGGCGGTGACCTGATATATTGGAATATGTCCTGGAGAATTGGTTTTTGATTACGGAACTGAAGAGAGCAGTTGGAATAAAAGTTGTTTGTTTTGGACTTAACATTTTCTTTGTATACGGCGAACAAGTGATAATGGGCATAGACTGATAGAATTATGTGAAAATACAATCCTCGTATTCTAAATGTTTTTAAATATAAAGACATACACAAGTTTACGTGGTCACAAACACTAGACAGTTGAAGTAAATTATTGATTATGCAATTTGCAAAATATCCACTAAATTGGAATGTGAAGGCGTCAGGGAATATCGAGGAGCAGAATGTGACTCAGATCTCCAGTTGCTAAAAGTAGTACTGTATTCTTCATTCTCTAATGGCAGCAAAGAAATTTCGACAATGGACGAAAATATCCTTCAAATTGACACAAAACAATATAATTTTAAAAAGTTAGAAAATAATTCCATTAAATTTATGTTTAAAATACAACTTTAAATAAAATTAAATGAAATTTCCATTTTTTCCGCTTTGAATATGTATGAAGAAATCAAAAATAAAATCCATGAAGTAGCAAACGGAATCTTAGGAAAAAGGAAAAAGATAGAGGGTGATTTCAATAATAGTCTCTGGTGGACTGAAGATATTAAAAAACTAGTAGATATTAAGAACCACCTTTACCACAAATGGCTTTCTACAAAACAACAAGATGATAGAGAACAATACATGAAACTAAACAGAGACGTAAAAAGAGTAACAAAAGACAAAAATTATGAATGGCAAAACCAATGTGAAAGAATAGAAAAGTTCTTAGGCGCCTCTCAACCAATAAAAACATGGAAAACACTCAAAACCATGAAGAGCAACTGGAATGAAAAATGTAATTATCAAATTATACAGGCAAAACAATGGGAAGAATATTATGAAATGTTCACAGAAGATCGGACGGAATTCTTGAATATAACACAAACTGCTGTAGATAGTAATGAAAACATGAATGAAATCAGTAAATAAGAAGTCCCAGAAGCTGTCAGATTGATGAAAAATGGAAGATCTGATGGACCAGATGGTATACCAATATAATTAATAAGAAGTAGCCCAGAGGTATTATTCGAGCAATTAGCGTTTATTTTCAACTATATGATAAGAGATGGATATGTACCTACAGAATGGAAGACAGAATGGAGATTGTAAAGAATACATAAATTATAGACGAATTTGTGCGACAAATTTTGTTTCTAGAATATATGAAAAAATTAGAAAGACCAGATGGATGAAGAACCAAATGGTTTTCGGGCAGGAAGGTCTTGCATTGGTGGAATATTTTGCCTTTGTCAAATAATAGATAAAAGGCTAGCACATAATCTAGAGACACAAATGTTCTTCATAGATCTCACAAAAGCCTATGACAATGTTCCATTAGAAAAAATATGGGAAGTTCTCAGAAATCAAAACATAAATATACAATTATTAACAGCAATTCAAAACCTGTATAATGATATGGCAAGATGTGTCAAAGTTGGAAGAAAGATAACGAATCCAAAAAATACCTAAAGGCCTGAGACAAGGATGCTGAATCGCTCCTACTCGCTTCAAAATATAT